CCCCCCCCGCGCGCGCGCGCGCGCGAAAAGGTCCTAGTAGATTCCTTTGCTAGGAATTACAAGTGCCTCGCTACTAGTAACAAGTGCCTTACTAGTAGTAACAAGAAGCTATTAGCTTATTGTTTCTAATAGCTTCTTGTTACTAGTAGTAAGGCACTTGTTACTAGAAGCGATGCACTTGTTCCCAATAGCTACTAGTTACTAGTAGTAAGGCACTTGTTACTAGAAGCGATGCACTTGTTACTAGTAGCTACTAGTTACTAGTAGCAAGGTGCTAGCTCTGCGAGAAACATAGAAGCGGTCCCGCCTTCGAAGGTCACATGTTCAGCCACTTTACCGGCTAGGCCTTGGCCTGGAGTGTTTGGAAACAAAGAGCTTCGTTGCACAAAAGCCGAACTGGAGAAGAAGAGAAGCAATAAAGGTCTTGCTATTTTCGCCTCTTTTTCCCCAAGCAGTTTACTGTTGGGCTTCTTTCTTAAGAGGAAAATGTTGCCCCGGTATGTTTTCGTGTGGTTATGAATGGGGCAGTGAGGCAGCGTTTGATATCATCCGCGGTTTCTCATGACATATATATCCCTCGTACTTCCACATGTGACAAGCGGAGGAATCAGGAACCATTGTTTTCTGACAATTTTTTGTTTACACGCCGTTCCCAATACAAACGTTACCTCAGACATTGGGACCCAACATTGACGCCAAAAGAATAATGCTGAAACTGTTTGGGGTCTATGCTGACATCATCATTGTTTTTCATTTTCTGGCCTCTAGACCCTTTTTTTGTGCTAGCTCAATGTTGCTGGAGCAACCGCAACCATCGTCAACCATTGCCGATAACCTCTCAATGGCCCTCCCATTGGAGGACATTTTTTGCCGTAGCTTTTGGATGGATGGACAAAGTGCCCGAAGAAGCTTCAGCAAAATACTAATTACGCCGTCGTAGACCCCAAACAGTTGACTGCTGTAAAAAAGGATCTCGAACAAGAGAATGAAAAGAAGCTACTAGTAACAAGTGCATCGCTACTAGTAACAAGTGCCTTACTAGTAGTAACAAGAAGCTATTAGCTTATTGTTTCTAATAGCTTCTTGTTACTAGTAGTAAGGCACTTGTTACTAGAAGCGATGCACTTGTTCCTAATAGCTTAATGTCAAGAACGGAGGCAAAAAACACCAGACTGGGAGACACATGTATAGAATTGCTACTAAGGAGTTGCCACAGAACAAGGACACACTATCCCACTGCGAGCTAAATGTAAAGGCTGACACATCAGCCCAGACTGAGGCGGAGACGCTTAGACTGAGGCGGACACACTTAAAAGCATTGAGAACCCCAAGAGTAAACTGCTTGGAGAATAATACAAGTGCCTTTACGATAAATGAAAATACAGTTGAATTGATTCGTTGAACTAGTGTGTGAATGTGACTTCTCTAGGTGTGACGTGTCATGTTGCTGTGCAAGCGCAACATTTCGTGAGGTTGGCACGAATCTGGCTGCTCCGTTAGGATTTGTTCTGGCTTCGAATCGCTTGCAAAACTTCGATTTTGGATGGCGTGATGACGTGGGTGAAGTAACCCAGTGTGGACTGATAGATGGGGCCTTGCTCGGGATTTGATATAAAATGTAGATTGGCCACCTAAGCACCATAGAATGGTTAACCTCTACTTTGTGACCTTATCCAAGCCAGATTTTCCATAGAGTGAGGTCGGAGGTACACCGAATGACACTGAAAGCCTGGCATTTGTACTGCTGACTGCTAATGCTATTCTAGGGGCTTACCAGTGGCAGGTGGCAGAGGCAAACAGGTGGTTGTTGTGCTTGTGGGTGTGGCTGTGGCCGTTATGGTTTTGGTTGTTGGTTTTGTTGTTGTGGTTGTTGCTTGGGCAGCACGTGGTCGGTCGTAGGTGCTTCGAAGAGTTTGTCTGAGTTTTGCATCGATCCAAATCGGATTCTCATGAGCTTATGCGGCAACTATACAAACCAACTCGACTTTGTCGAAACCAGCAGAAAACACATTGTTCCAGTAGGTTGGAGGCCGCTCTTAGGCTTTTGGCCCCCGAGCCAATGCCCTGCACTTCTGCCAACTCTTCTGCCGAGTGGAAAGGCCCCTGCCGCTCGCGGTGTGCCACCTAGTGCGGTCTCCAGATCGAGCGGAAATTGCCGACTCTATTTCTTTTTAAAGGGTGTAGGCCCCTAAGAGGTTAGCTAGAGGTAGCTAGTAGAAGCAAACGGTAGCTAGTAGCTTAAGTAGCTACTACTTAGGACTCAGGATAGCGCCCACTAATGATTTGGTTCATAGAATCTTTTTCGTTCCTGTATTGTGACGGCCTCCAACCTAATAGCGATGGCCTGCAACCTACTAGCAATGGCCTCGAACCTACTAGCAATGGCCTGCAACCTAATAGCAATGGCTTGCAATCTACTAGCTTCTTTTTTGAGCTGGTTCAATGACTTTAAGTTGCGGTTTCCAATATTCAACGTCCCAATCTTTTCTTACCAACACTACACGTCGCAAGAATGATACAAGGGTTCAGGAAAACAATCTCGAAGAATGCCATGCTTCATCACCACTTCCATGCTGAGGACCTGGCAATCTTTTCCGCCCTCCTCCTTGCAAAAGAATTACAACATCACACATACCAAATAGCCCAATGCATTAATTAATTGATCCACCCAGCAAAGTTGGATGAACAATTGATCCTATCTCAACTTTTCTGCTTAATTACTCCAAACTGCTTGCCGTGTCAGCCTTTTGACAATATTTTTTTTAAATTTCTTGATGTTTTCCTGCTTTTTTCTGTCTTTGAAATTTCTTCGAATTGTGCCAGCATAGACGGCGTAGACCCCAAATAGCAAAAGATGTTTGTGGGCAGCGCCATGCAGCGGCACCAGCACCCAGGCTCCAAAGTGAAGTGCCACACACAGGCACCATTTCAATGTACTTACTTAAAGTAAGAAACCCAAAAACTCTCGCAATTTGGGGAAAGAACTCGGCTTTACAGTAAATACAATCGAGAGCTCTCCGCGCCGTCCTACCAATGCCGGGCAGGGACATCAGCTCATCCACCGAAGCTTCATTGATGTTCAACAGACCTCCACGCACCAACTTGGCCAACCCCGGGAGGGCGCAACACACAACACTTTCCCTAAGAGCGATGGCTTCCAGCCCAAGAGCGATGGCCTCAAGCCTAGCATCCAACCTACTAGCAATGGCCTCCAAGCTACCAGTGATGGCCTCCAATCTAATAGCAATGGCATCCAATGGCATCCAACCTAGTGGCGATGGCCTGCAACCTAGAAGTGATGGCCTCCCTCCCTGCTTGCCATTCTTCGTTTTCTTTTTTTGGTTTTTCCCTTTTTGCCTCTTGCTTTGCAAAAACGCCACCTTGTCTGCTGTTGGCTGGTCTGTGATGCTGGTTTTCCATAAGCAGTCAATCTGGGGCAAGAACAAACAGATCCCATTCAACGTTACGACCCGCACCAAACATTAGCGATATCGTACTTTGGTCAGCACCTGTGCATCCCACCGCCCCCATGCTTGCCTGTGGAGCTTGAAGAGGCATCCGACCTTAGGACCAGAAAGCTTGGAGTGGCGCCCAAGAACAGAAGAAAAGGAACAAAGAACTGAAGAAGAGCCCCTAGTAGCGTCCTTGTTCCTAGTAGCGATGCCCTTTGCTCCTAGTAGCGTTCTTGTTCCTAGTAGCGATGCCCTTTGCTCCTAGTAGCGTTCTTGTTCCTAGTAGCGATGCCCTTTGCTCCTAGTAGCGTTCTTGTTCCTAGTAGCGATGCCCTTTGCTACTAGTAGCTTCTTGCTCCTAGTAGTAAGGCCAGGAGCCCCTAGTAGCGTTCTTGTTCCTAGTAGCGATGCCCTTTGCTCCTAGTAGCTTCTTGTTCCTAGTAGTAAGGCCAGGAGCCCCTAGTAGCGTTCTTGTTCCTAGTAGCGATGCCCTTTGCTCCTAGTAGTTTCTTGTTCCTAGTAGTGAGGCCAGGAGTAGCGTCCTTGCTCCTAGTAGCGATGCCCCTTGCTACTAGTAGCT